CATTAAGCTTTGCCCCCCCTCCCCCACCCCCTCCCCACACACACACACACACACCAGCCCTCTCACACGCCTACATTAAAAAAAATAGGAAAGGCTAAAGTAAAGTAAAGATAATATAAAAACATCCATAATGTATTGTTTGGCATCCAATTCTCTTGAAAATGATATATCACACAACCCATTTAACAAAGAAATGACAGCAAACATTTTTCCCCAACACATTTGCAATGTTTACATTTTGAAATGTCTAAAACGTTGAAAAAGGGGCACGTAACTCTGCAAGGATTTCACACTAGCAGAAAACTGATTTATCCAATTACCTATTCACAGACACCATCAGATTCAGATATTATTATTATTGGACACTTTCTGTTTGCTCTTATAATTCCATTGTTGACAGAGGTATTATAAACGGATATCCAAATCATACATTATGATGTAAATGGGGAATATCAAGAATGATTGGATACAAACTAAATAAAGAAGAAAAATAATGGAAAATAATCGGCAGAATCTAAAAACTTCGTGATTAAGGGATTACCGTTATAGTTATCTCCCCTTCATGAATCGATTTATATTTCGCAATTTTATTGAAGAATTTTCATTATTATTTTGGTGTAATACATGTATAGATCGATTGGTATCACATCTTGTTACAAATGGGAGTTGGCCCAAGTTTGAACAGGGGCGCTGGTTTGCAATCATAATACAAGTTATGTCAGGATATTTAATCAGCTGCTCATATAAGTTAACACGAATAAATTTACAGGTTATGGTTCTCCAACTTGTTTCTTATGGATGAGAAAATGTCTTAGACCAGGCCTGCCAAACTCATAATGTAAGGCAAGGCGGGTCATAATACTTTATGAAAAACTTGTGCGAAAGAAAATAGGACGGGGGGAGGGGGGCAATCCATTAAGAAGGAATCAAAGGTGAACATGTACAGAACCAGTAACGATCACGGAGGTATCAATTTTGAAGGCTCCAAAACACTAAAAGCTTAATAATAATACTACTAATAATCTTAACCCAGTGGTTCTTAAACGTTTTTAGAGCTATGACCCTTTTATAAAATTTTCCAGGTTGTGGAACCCACAACCAGAATTGTTCTAATATACCTTGAAATGAAGAAACGTTTTGAGAAAAGGGGGAGAGGGGGATACTTTTATAGATAAAAATGTCATTGTAATTTTAATTAGGTATGGAGGGAAACAAGAAATAAGAGCTAAGAAAGGGGAGAGAGGGTTCTTTGGAGATGGCTCTGTAAGTCAATCCCCATAAAATTTTTTGATACATTCACACATTATCTGATTGAAATTTTGCGTTGAAGCTGCCAAATTTTAAGTGAGGCAAAAAACAAAAAATAATTAAAAATGAAACAACAAAGAAAAAAAACAACAAACAAACAGCAATATCCATGTCAAAAAGATGTTTATATCAGCTAATTATGAATACTACTAAAAACACCGTACATGCTTCGCCAGCTAGTGTTGTGAATCAACTCAGTGACCATGTTTGTTAATTTCAATCGAATATTCAAAACGAATATTTCGTTCATTCGCGGGGCCGTATGTTGTGCAGGCCTGACATAAATCATATTACAAACACGATAATCTATTAGAACGGATGCCCTTCAACATAATATAGGCCTACGTAATTTAATATGTTTTTGGATATTTTGTGTTATTGTTTATTAGGACTTTTACACTTTTAATGTAATTTAAATCACAGAATTTTATATTTATTTTCCTCCTTTTTTTTTTTTGGGTGTCAAATTTTTGCTAAAAATTGTTTATAAAATTTGTTTCCCTAATATACTGGGAAATTATATTTAAAAAAATTATAAACGAAGAGAAAAACATCAATTATGGTAATATTTAAAGTATTAAAATAATGTATGTACGTTTTTATAAAGTTATAAAGGATTTATATTATATTATTATTATAAATTAAAATAATATATCTTGTTTTTATTGCAACAATAATTTAACAATACAATATTGTTAAGCTACATATCTTATAAATCAATCTTAAATGAATTGAAGCGCATCACACTCGTCCATAAATTAAAAATATAATACTTAGTTTAGATTTATTTTTATTTAAAATAAAAGAAAAAGTACAGATCGATTTTTTACTTATTTTCATCACACGTTGGATTTCGGTAAATAGTAAAACCTAATTGCTGAAACCGGTAATTTGTAAACACAATATATTTTTTAACTTTTCTCTACGCAATTTATGTATATTGTATATGCCTAATCACATTAACATTAATTTCAATATCAAACATTCCTTCATTTCGAGAATGACTCTTTATTATCTTTCTTTCAGCTTTGTCCACATTATAAAATTGAATGATTCAATCAAAGGGCCGTATGCCGTATGTACATCATCAAATCAACTTCCCACTGCGCATTAACTTTAACCTGCTTAACAACAGTACCTAAACTAAAGACTAAACACTAGAACCATACTTCTGTACTGAAAGTAGATCGTAGACAGTACTAAGTGAACTACTCTAAGCACTTTTTTGTCCCCCACCTTATGTCTAACTCACTTATCACTATTTAAAATATCAAGAAACAAATCGCAAAATTGTACAACTTTTCTAAACAAAACTACTTACACTTAAACGAAACCAAATGCTGCAAAATGACTTCAATGAGCATCTCAAGATAAAAACCATCAACCTATATGTACTCTCTAAACAAGACCATTCTCCAACAAGTATAAAATAATCCATACTGACCATACATTGGAATTCTCTTCTTGAATAATCTAAATTGGTCACCCCATATAAACAAAATAAAAAAAAAAAAAACTCTACACTTGGTTTCATTTCAAGAAATCTGCGCCACTGCCCAACATCCTGCAAACGAAATGCCTATCTCGCACTCGTCCGTCCGCTACTAGAATATGGTGCGATCATCTGGGACCCATACCTAAAGCAAGACGTGGACAAGATGGAGCGTATACATCATAACGCAGTGCCCTTCATCGCAAGTGACTACAAATCCACCACTCCTGGCTTCGTCACTGACCTCTTAAAAAGATTTGACATTTCCTCCCTCAAAGACAGATGAGAAAAGCTCTGTCTAACATTCTTATATAAAGTGGTCACGGGGCTAGTGCCGGCCAACCCCACATAAGCCAGGTTGCTTAATCAGAGCCAAACGCTCAGTAAACACTGACTTCACCTCTGACAACTCCATGAACAGTTACATCCAGAACAATAGTAAATGCTTCAATGTGCCTCGGTGTAACACAGTCCAATATAAACAATCATTCTTCCCACGAAAAATAATTGCTTGGAACCAACTGGACAATGCCGCAGTGGACAAGATATCAATTGAGTTTCAAGGCTGCCCTGACATCCGCTAGGATAGCCATGTAACATCACATTGAAAGCCGAACATTATAGTTAAAAAAATGCACTTAATAACACTAAATTTACAGACCTTTTAACATTATTCTTTATACATAAATTATAATTATTTTATTTTCAAACTATGATCACTGAAAGGGTTAGTACAGGTATGCGAGATCCGAGAAATGGCATCTGATCAAGATATAGGATGCCACAGAGGAAGAGAATTGGTGCGTAGAGACTTTGACATTCATGAGAATTTATGTCCAAATGTGGAGACAGGATTCATATAATTGGCTCTACCATGGGCGGGAAGTGAGATGGAGCGAAATATGTTGGACTTGAGGGGATGGGGGGGGGGGGGGGGGGAGGGGGGGGGGGGGGGGGGGGGGGAGGAGAAGGAGGTGCAGAAGTTTGTGATATTATATTGGAGGGGGGTAAAAATTTGCATGACGTCATTTAGCCTACCTCTTGACCAGTATTGCCAATTCACTAATACAGGGTACTCAAACTTTTTAAATAGGGTGGCCGGTTCACTGTCCCCTAGACACTGTTGCAGGCCAGACTATCGTTTAAAATAAAAATATTAATGGATACCTGCGAACTCTGCAAACAGTTTATATTTAAAATTTTTAGTGCACACAATAGGAAAAAAACAATAAAATAAAATATTTAAAATGAAGAATGCTTTTACTCAACACAGCTTATTTGTATTTCAATGAAAATTTTGGGTCTGCCTCTGGCTAATGAGATCATCAATGTCTGGTTCTAGGCAGTCTGGGTTAAGCACTCCTGGCGGCCAGATGTGGCTTGCGGGTCACAGTTTGAGGACCAATACAATACTACAATAAATAATATAGGGCCGCTTGCAAATGATTTAGCGTACTAATCTTTAAAACAATTTTGGACTAAATATCAATTCGTAAAAATTATGAAGCAACAAAAAAAACTAGTCTTCAAAAAATATAATTTACCTGAATGTCATATGATGCAAATTCCTATATCTTATGTTAGTTTACTTTATAATATTACTCTTCAGTGTTTAATATCTCCACCAGCTTATTATTATATACTTTAGAGGAAGTGGAAGCATGCTGCGTTATGAAGCAAGAAGTAATAAAAAATGCTAAGATCTCTATTTTTGTTGCTTCAAAACATTATAGGCAATTTCTTTTTTTTTTTTTTATCTTTGCAAACAACCTAAAGTTCTTACCTATTTTTAAAAATAAGTTATTGAGGTTAAATTTTTTCAGACTGTCCTTATATTTTTCAGGTAGTTGGCTATTAACATTTTACTTTTAACTTTAACATTTTTTTATAATTATATACTTTAGAAGAAGTGGAAGCATGCTTCGTTATGAAGCAAGAAGTAATAAAAAATGCTAAGATCTCTATTTTTGTTGCTTCAAAACATTATAGGCAATTTCTTTTTTTTTTTTTTATCTTTGCAAACAACCTAAAGTTCTTACCTAATTTTAAAAATAAGTTATTGAGGTTAAATTTTTTCAGACTGTCCTTATATTTTTCAGGTAGTTGGCTATTAACATTTTACTTTTAACTTTAACATTGTTCAACATTATTACACTGTTGTGACTGTTCTTCAGCATTCTTTTGATAATCAATATTCTTAGCTCCAATCAGGTCAACATGGACACAGATGATTGGCAAGCACCCACTGAGGCGGAGATGAAGCTTATTGAAGCCAGGAGGGAGCGCTCAGATAAAATCTCCAAACTCATGTCAACGTATTTGCTGAAAGGCTATAAGATGTTGGCAACAGTTTGTTCAGAATGCGAGGTATGTATTTGAAGACCATTATTTATTATACTTATCATGGCTTTTTTTGTGATTAACTGGATGAGAAATAAGCTCAATTTTTTTGACCGCCATAATGTCTGATGCTGGAGAGGGTTCCCCTATAGATTGCAAAATCAAAACAGACTTTCTTCATTGTAATGGAGTTCAGAGATATTCCATGTGCTAGTAATGACAGAATTGGCTGTAGCGGAGATGGGAACTTACAAGTCTGATATTAAAAATTTTAGCGCTAAGCTAAATAGTGACGTTACAGACAAATTCATTTGGGAAAGGGTGGAAATCAAACAGAAAAGACAAAGATTGGATCCCAAAGACCTACCCTAAAAGAGATTCAAAGACATTTCAGATTTAAGTTTTGAGTAGCCTATATTCTGCAGTATTAATTAATAAAAAATGGACTTAAAATAACTTCATTTGAAAAGGAATATTTGAACACATTTCATGTCTTCCCCATTGTATTTTGTAATGCAGAAATTTGAATATTGTGAATGAAAAAAATTCAGCAATTTTACAATTTTCAATATAATACCGTAACAATTTCTGAAAGATTATTGCATCTAGTTTCTCATCTCAAAAACTTGATTTTATGATAGTTTGAACAAGTTATAGAGTATTAGGTTGGGTTGAATTCAGAAATTGAGCAGTAAAATATTACTCACACCATAAAGGTCAAGGTCAATATCAAAATGCATTATATAAAAACAAATTCTTTTCATATCATAAGATATCTTGTCCAATAAGAAAAGGTATACTTTTAATGGACCCTGAATACATTTAGTATTGGATTTTGTCATGACAGTTATAGGGCCAAAGTGTCACAAATGGTATTGGACAAGGCCCATGATAAAGTTTCTCCCTGTCTTATGTGGTCTGACAATCCCTTACCGTATCTCACTTTGGTACAAAGGCAAGCGGATCACATAGTCTTATTCATAACACTAAAGTTTTCTACACATTCCATGCTTCACCGACACTCACAACATCATAAACATTCATGGTGATAGCATAATGATGTTGTTTCAATTAATCTTTATTCCCAATCTCAGGAAATAAAAAAAATTAAAAAAACTAACTATTTCTGTTTTTTTTGGTATATATGTATAGACTATACTATTACAAGACAGACAGGGGACCAAATACTGTGTGGCCTGCTCTGAGCTAGACTCTGACACAGACAAAGATAACCCAGGTGAGTGAACACTGCCTTGTGGCAGGCTGCCTTTGTTAAAAAACAAAAACCTTCCATTTCAGGAATTTGAATAAAGGTGCTTGTTAACAGAGTAAGTTATAGATTCCATTTATATGTTGGGTTTGTTAAAATATGGGGCAGTACTGGGAAATTTTGGTTTTATAAAAGGAAAACATGCACTTCTATATCTGAGCATTCAAATAGTCTTTAATATTATGAGAAAGTTTTTAAATATCTATAAAATTTGATGATTTTTGCTATTATTGACTGATCATTTACTTTTTATGTTTGTCATTGTAAGTCAAGAAAGTCAGGAGGTTTGAGTTCATTTAACATCTTGTGAAACTGCTCATTAATTAATTAATCTATTCAAAATGTAAACATAAAATTCACAATTTAATCTTTTTAAATGGTCTCCTTTTCATTGGTCTCCCCTTCGCAGTAATCAATGAAGCTGCCGCAATCTCTATGGCCAGAGAAATATCTTCTGCTGCTGGGACTAAAACAAAGGACTTCACAGGAGCGGGATCACCCACCAGACTGGCTCAGGGTCTGCATGGTTCTGGTGACACTCTCCACACCGCCTCACCTAAACCACAAATGCTGCTCACTGGCCCGAGACCATTTTCTCAGCCATATACACTGGGGCAAGTACTTCAAGACCCTTCAGAATCAGCTTCACATAATCTATCTCCAGATCATCAATCAGCTCCTTGCTCGGTACAAAAATTGCAGAGCGGTCCATGTAAAATCTCGAATGAATCTCTGTCCACTCAGTCTCCTGTCACGAGCCTAGGCACACTGTGTGAGAAACTGGAGTGGGCCAGCAAGGAGCTGTCACACACCGACCGTGTGGAGTATAGCATTCAACTCTGTCAACTCATAAAGGCGGCTGCCGAGGCCATCGTCGCAGTCAGAAAAACTGGGGTTTAGTTGTTCTTAGGTGACTTGAAAAAACTCATTTTAAAAGAATTGTTGTAAGTTTGATTCTCTCTAGTGTTTTTGACATTACAGCAAGTATCCACAAATAAAAAGCTGAACTGTGAAGTCAATATTAATGTAGTTGAATCAAATTGGCAATACCTGGAGAGTGGCTTTTATCTATAATTTTGAAATTAATAGATAATTATAGATAATTAAAATATTTAAACATCTAGACACATATGTGATATGGAGTAGGTAAGTCACAGGGAATTTTATGTGTGCACATATTTTTTTCATTTAATAAATTTAAGCGTTGGATAAAAAAAATAATTGGAATTTGTGTTATAATCCCAAGTGTTTGCATTGCAAGCTATATATCACTTTTAATTCTATACATTTTAACCATTTTTTGCTGTCAAGGCAACTTTGACTTATTTGGCAAGTGTAGGCGCACTTGAAATTAACCTGCATGGTCCCCGAGGTGATTCACAACAGTAACTGGCCAAGCATGTACCGTTTATTTAGTAGTATGCATTATTCATTAATGTATTACTGTATCTGACATAAACATGGTTTGACAGGGAATCACAGTTCACCAAGGCCGGTGATTTTGTTTCCAGATGTGTGCACATAAATGTTTTGAGAGATGTCAAAGGGATCAATCTGATAGGTGTGATTTTTTACTATAAATTGAGTGTGTTTATATCAAGACTTAACATTTTGACATTATGTGGTGCTAGCCCTCTTAAAAAAATTATATACTTAAATATGAATGTATTTACCACTGGATGAATAGGACAGATATTTTTAAGTATTATTATTTGTTTAATTCCTATTTGATATCATTATAAAGCAAAAATAAAATGCTCTTTCAAAAAACTGGACTGTTTAATTTAAGTGAATTTTACTGTTTCCAATTTTTATATTCTTTATTTAATATATATATATTTATATATATACTCAGTAGTAATAGTAGCTGTAATAATGTAAGCCCTATGATTTCTTCTATATCTAAGAAAATATAATTTTGTTATAAATAAAATTTAGAAAATAAACAGGTGACTTATCACTTAATATAAATGCTCTTTGAAGGAAAAAAAAGAAAGAAAGATTTATATGATATTTAAAGCAAATGACTCCTCTGTTCTTATAATCAAGTTGTACTTCCACCCCCTGGGGTTGTGTGCACCCCAGGTTGGGAAACACTGAAGCAACCCCTGTAAAGTACATTTTAAATATAGGCCAGAACATTAATACTCAGATTCAGTACCTCAATTTTTCAATAGAAGAGAATAGGACTTCTTAAAGACTAGGACTTCTTATTGAATAGGACTTCTTAAAGATTAGGACTACTTATAGAATAGGACTTCTTTAAGACTAGGAATTCTTTAAGACAAGGACTTCTTAAAGAATAGGACCAATATAAGACTAGGACTTCTTAAAGAATAGGACCAATATAAGACTAGGACTTCTTAAAGAATAGGACCAATATAAGACTAGGACTTCGTAAAGAATAGGACCAATATAAGACTTGGACTTCTTAAAGAATAGGACATATATAAGACAGAGGCGTAGCGTGGTGGGGGCAGGGGTGGACGGATGTCCCCGGGCGCCAGCTAGTTAGGGGTGCCAAAATGTGCTTTGATATTATTTTATTGATGAAAATAATGGGTTTGAGAGTTGAAAAAAAGAAAAAGGGGCGCTAAAAATGGATCTTGTCCCCGGGCGCGAATCTTGTCCCCGGGCGCCAAACACCCTCGCTACGCCACTGATATAAGACTAGGACTTCTTAAAGAATAGGACCAATATAAGACTAGGACTTCTTAAAGAATATGACTTCTTTTTGAATAGGATCAATATAAGACTAGGACTTCTTTTTGAATAGGACCAATATAAGACTAGGACTTCTTAAAGAATAGGACTTCTTTTTGAATAGGACCAATATAAGACTAGGACTTCTTAAAGAATAGGACTTCTTTTTGAATAGGACCAATATGACTAGGACTTCTTAAAGAATAAGACTTCTTTTTGAATAGGACCAATGTAAGACTAGGACTTCTTAAAGAATAGGACCAATATAAGACTAGGACTTCTTAAAGAATAGGACTTCTTAAAGAATAGGACCAATATAAGACTAGGACTTCTTAAAGAATAGGACTTCTTAAAGAATAGGACCAATATAAGACTAGGACTTCTTAAAGAATAGGACTTCTTTTTGAATAGGACCAATATAAGACTAGGACTTCTTAAAGAATATGACTTCTTTTTGAATAGGATCAATATAAGACTAGGACTTCTTTTTGAATAGGACCAATATAAGACTAGGACTTCTTAAAGAATAGGACTTCTTTTTGAATAGAACCAATATAAGACTAGGACTTCTTAAAGAATAGGACTTCTTTTTGAATAGGACCAATATAAGACTAGGACTTCTTAAAGAACAGGACTTCCTTTTTAATAGGACCAATACAAGACTAGGACTTCTTAAAGAATAGGACTTCTTATGTTTGCCTTTTAACCAAAAATGTTTTATAAATAAACCTTTTTCAATATATATATATATATATATATATATATAAATACACCAAGGCCTCATACATAATACACTAATATGCATACAGCATGTATGTTATATCAACACACGAGCCGTGATACATATTTCAACATTCAAACATATCCAAAATATCGACCTGCAACTCGCCAGACACACCTACAAATCTTATTCAAACTTTTATCGAATGTTCTAAAGGACTCCGGAACAAAACACACACAGAGGCCTTCAACGGTGGAGGTAGGTTCAATGGATTGGTGAACATTCTCTGCTCAATGAAGCGTGACATACATAGGGAGGCCTTACTTACAGGAGAGTGGGCAACACCTGAAGTGAACTGAACGTAAGGTTTCATTTGGAAGGGCATTCATTCGTAGACTGGTTATGTTGACCCGTTGGTCTTAAAAGCAATGAAAGATCGTACTGACAATTTCTTTTTTCGAGCCGGCAGTGGTGTAGCTAGGGGTTGGGGACACCCGGGGCGGTCATTGATTGGTTGTGTCCCCCCCTTCACCCCCCCCCCCAAAAATCCCCCGATAAAAACATCCTAGCAGACCTGATTTCATGGGTCTCTCCGCACCCCACGCCACTCTCTCCCGCGCCCAAGGTGTTCATGGGCACCCCTGGTTAAGAACTTCTGCTCCAGTCATTAAACATTTCTATTACCGGGTGCTCAAATTATGCCACAGGACTCTTCTTTCAAGTCCTAAGACCCGTCTTATCTATGTTACAGTCTGGGGTATGTTACAGTCTGGGGTATAATAATATTAATACTCCAAATCTATTTGTGACACCTCACGTGTAAGTTTAGAATTTTATGCTCGAAATGTCCTTTAAAGGACCAACGTTAGTTTTGGGCTCGGATTTCATTGGACTCTAGCGGTTCCTGTAAACAAAACCCCTTTAGCTTTTATAGAAAAGGACCAGATACATTTGATCAAAAGAAGACAATGAATTGTACGAGGACAGATAACGCCAACGAACGCCTTTGAACCGTTTGACCCGACTCAATGTCCGAAGGTCTCCGTGGATATGGGGGGGGGGGTTATAATCCAGGCAAATGGTCCACACATGTTTGGATTCACGTGGCCGTGTCTCTCTCAATAAACGTGGCTTGCCTTTGGTGGTAAAAAGGGGGGGGGGTCGGTACGCGCCGTGGGGGTTGGGAGCTGGGTGGGTGGGGGATCTATATAAGTTGTAAGTACATGTACTACACATTTGTTTTAAATACAATAGTGGTACAGTGTCGTGGTAGAGTGAAGAGGTTACAGTGTAGTGCTATAGAGTTTAGAGGTACAGTGCCAAATGGCTTATGAGCGTGATCACGTAAGCCAACGAAGGTGGTCACAGACTGATGTGTTTTAAAAGGAGAGCCGCAGAGCCGGGCAGAAAGTGTTCGACTCCGGGTTTCAGAATCCGACTGCGGCATTTGACGTCAAGCGAGTGGGAACTCTTGTGGTGCGTGTTGTTGCAGACTGGCCTTTGACGTCAATCGAGTGGGAACTCTTGTGGTGCGTGTTGTTGCAGACTGGCCATTGACGTCAAGCGAGTGGGAACTCTTGTGGTGCGTGATGTTGCAGACTGGCATTTGACGTCAAGCGAGTGGGAACTCTTGTGGTGCGTGTTGTTGCAGACTGGCCATTGACGTCAGATTCTTTTTTTTATTTCCGTACGCTAAAAAAATATTTTATCGGTAACCAAATAAAAAAAAAAAATTGTGCACATTTTAACAGTTAAGCTTTGAATTAAGCCGTTAGACTACGCGGCGTTGGTTCAAAGAGTTGAGAGTGAGTGCCATGTGCCTAAAGGAAAGAGTTTAAAAGGAAATTAAGCTGTTTGGTGCCCTGTGAATACTTCTTAATGTTCCTTGTTTTTTTTCTTGGTGAGACTTAACACCAGCGATCAAGGCCTACACAAATACAATGGTAAGTGTCACAGTTAGTGTGGGAAGCTGGGGTGCTGGTGGTGCTGAGTGGACTTGGGAAAAAGGTGGGGGGGGGGGGTTGGGGGGGGGGCTACTGGAAATTTGTACGAAATCAATTTGAACGAAGGGATGTTGTTTAAACGGAAGTTTTTTTCGAAATGAATTCGGGATGATTATTTTTCTTCTTATTCATAACAAAATAGTGTGCACATTGTTTAGTCTTAAAGTGTTGAGTGAGTAAGTTACCGCGAACATTTACAAACTATGTTGTTTATTTTCTGTACAGGCTACCAAAGGAAAGGACAATGTAGCAGGTAGGACACTCATATAAAGAGCCCCCCCCCCCCCACTAAAATCCATATGAGTATGAAATAACATATTTTAAAGGTTAATAAATTAAGATTGATTAGAAAAGTTTATGTTATTGATTGAAATCAATTGAAATGGTTTTTGATCATAATATAAATTAAACGTATTCACTTTAGCACATAAATCAATCCATCTTTTTTTTTTTTTAACAAAGGCAACATTTTAAAATTATACCAATTTAAAGACAAGCCATCTAAAGTATTTCTCTAGCGTAGCCATCAGCCATCACTGAACTCTCCTAGTGATGATAAAGACGTGATTAGTGATCATTTAAATGGGGTCACCGCTGGGGAAGGGGCGCTGGCAAAGTCCTACAGACCGGGGAACACACGAATTTTTTTATATCTTTCGGTCCTAACTTTGGGAGAAAGAACTTTCCCCTGATCGAACTGATCTTAGGTATCTGTGATGTAGAGACTGGGATGCATCGTTCAACATTTTTGGTACTTTTGTTAGTTCCCCCACACCAGAAGATAATACTGAAGTTCGGTAGACTTTCCAATTTGTTGCACTGTAGAATGTGTTAATACAAGCTATACCAGATTGCTTGAACAGATCCTTCTAATACACGAACATTGCAATCTCGTCTCTGTCGGCATGGCTGACGTCGCAATCAAACTAGCTATACTATCGTAGCAATAGCATGTGTATGTTTTATAGTACATTTTCCGGTCCATGTAATCATTTGTCTAGATCACCCCAGGTGTCTTACTTAGGTAAGCATACTCGTGTAGGTTATTCTGGCAGATAGCGCTAACATGGACGTGAAAGACCGGATCGATCATTGTACATGTTATTGGATGAGATAAAAAAAATAAGCCCCAAAAAAACAAACTTGTTGCCTTGTCGGTGATATTGCATTGACAATAGCTAACAAGTAGATATATAGTGGGTGATATTGCATTGACAATAGCTAACAAGTAGATAGATAGTGGGTGATATTGCATTGACAATAGCTAACAAGTAGATAGATAGTGGGTGATATTGCATTGACAATAGCTAACACGTAGTTACAACAATGAAATGAATAACTTTTGTCTCAGGTGTGCTTTAAATGAAAGTGGTCAGTGGCGTAGCTTTAGGGTTGGTGCCGCCTGGGGCGGGGCAAGCTCTTCGCCGCCTCCTTGCACACACACACACACACACACAAACTTACAAAAAACCTCTACAATTGACCGAAAGTGCCGCGCCTCGAAATAGAGATTTCAAATGGTAAATGTAACTAATCGTTTTAAAAAGTCGGTGTAGATCAGCGGTTCTCAACCTGTGGGTCGCGACCCCGTTGGAGGTCGCACGACCCTTTCACAGGGGTCACCTAAGACCATCTGAAAACACATGTGCTCCGCAGTTACAAAGTATTAATGAGAATAATTTTGTGGTTGGGGGTAGCCACAACATGAGAAAATGTGTTAAAGGGTCGCGGCATTAGAAAGGTTGAGAGCCACTGTTGTAGATCAAACTGAGTGTTCGCCTTGTCAACAATGGCATGTCTTGGGGTGAGTGTCTTGTCAACAATGGCATGTCTTGGGGTGAGTGTCTTGTCAACAATGGCATGTCTTGGGGTGAGTGTCTTGTCAACAATGGCATGTCTTGGGGTGAGTGTCTTGTCAACAATGGCATATCTTGGGGTGAGTGTCTTGTCAACAAGGTCATTATGCCTTGGAGTGTGTGTTTCGCTACCAAAGAAAGTATGTCTCGGACGGAACTGGTTCCTCGTCAACAAAGGCCATTACGTCTCGGAACTGGTGTCTTGTCAAAACAAAGACAGTATGTCGTGGACTGGTTCTCTGTCAACAAATACAGTCTGCCTTTGAAAGGGTGTCTTGTCAATAAAGACAGTTTGTCGTGGAACGTGTGTCTCTTGTAAAAAAATACAGTATGTCTTGGAAAGGGTGTCTTGTCAACAAAGACATAATGTCTGGGGTGGATGTCTACATATGAAAATAATACAGCACTGCAAAGTCTATCCAAATTCTAACATTGTTCTCCCATTAAGGCTCGGCATTTCGAAAAATCTGGGCGGCCCGACTAGATGACGTCATCGTGACTGCCCAATGTATACGACACACGCCCTCCTTTTCCCTCAGGGAAAAAAGTAAATTTCCAGTGATCTATTCCTTAGATAAAAATAGTTACAAGGGCAAATTCAAAAGAGATATTTTCATCATACAATTGAGCATGATAACGACAACTATATTCGAGATCTCCCTTCCATTGTTCGTGATATAAATGTCTTGACAAGTCTCTATAGCACATGTGTCAAACTCAAGGCCCGCGGGCCTCATACGGCCCGCCGTACAATTATATCCGGCCCGCGAGGTCTTGACCGGCGTACAATTATATCCAAGTCAAGTGTTTCCCAATGCACACTTTGCTGAAAGACTTAGCTTACTTCGCGCCGAGTTAGCACGGCGCTTAAGTGACTTTGAAGCACAGAATTGTAATTTCGAGCTGTTTCGCAACCCATTTGTCATAGACCTGGAAACTGCACCTGCAAATTTGTAGATGGAGCTGATAGATCTGCAGTGTAATGGGACACTAAAGGCAAAGTACGAAACGGTTGGGCCTGCACAGTTCACTCGTTTCATTCCTGAAGTGATGCCCCAGCTTCTACTACACGCGGCTCGAACCTTGAGCATGTTGGGTAGCACATATATGTGTGCGCAGCTGTTTTCTGTGATGAAGATTAACAAAACATCACACAGGAGTCGTCTCACTGATGAACACTTGCAGACCATCATATGAGAATCTCAATGACACAGAACGTTACTCTCAACATAAAAGAACGTACTTGTTTTTGTAGCCAAGAAAATTTGCCGAACATCCAGCTCTGAGCAATTGGCATAAGAACGAAAATTGGTATTAAATATTTTTTTTCTGTTTTCATTTATGAAATGTTTTTAAATATTAATTTCCCACTAGTTGAATGTTTATCCCGTTCGGCCCGCAATCTTACATGTGAATTGAGTTTTTGCCCGCCGAGCGATTGCGTCAGCTCTACAGCGTCAGCCAACCATATCACGCTTTGCCTCCATCGCCTATCATTAGTTGCATTTGTTAATTTGTCAGAGATTTGAAGGCGTTATATCCAACTAACTACTCATAAATTACAGCATACTATATTGACCGATATTTGAACACCATCCAAAATTAAAAAAAATAAGTCCTCACAATTTGCCACACAATTTAGACACCCATTATATCTCCTTGATGCATCGTCACAAATTCGTGACCCACCACCACCCTTTTTGAGTTGAATGAGTCATTTATAAAGGGATCCCTTCCATGTATCCCCAGAGCTAGAAGAAGCTTTCAGCCTGTTTGACAAAGACGGAGACGGTACCATCACTTACAAGGAACTGGGGACCGTTATGAGGTCACTGGGTCACAATCCAACGGATTCAGAGCTCCAGGACATGATCCAGGAAGTTGACGTTGATGGTAACACTCTTATCTTGCCCTACTCTCGTTCCTTCTTTTAGTGCTAATCTCATTCATTCTTTTAGTGCTACTTTCAGTCCTTCTTACAGTCCTACTTTAAGTCCTACTCTCAGTCCTTCGTTTAGACCTGCCCCTGGTCCTACTCTAATCCTGAACTCAGCCCTACTCTCATTTCTACTGCACGTTATGGACAATATCTTTGGAAACTGTACATTAATTTAACTTTAACTTTAACTTTTGTCTATACATTTTATTATATATTACTATTATCTCTCGTAGTCCCATTGTGCTAAATATTATCGATGTCTTAAGTTAGTGACTTAATTATTTTTGACTCTTGAAATTACAGGGAAATAACAAAAAAATATTTATTACAGTATTGTCATGGGTTGGTTCCCTTCATTTAATAAAAAAAAAAAAAAAACTTTTCATTTACATGTACCTATTTGGATAATTTAACCGCTGAAGTCATGACATATTTGAGTGCAAGCGTAGCCCTGGTCCAGTGGACGACATTATTCCAACATGTACCCAAGAGACGATTAGGTTTAAAGAGAGAATTTAGAAGTTAAATAATTCTTTTTAGCGAATTATCTACCGATGTATTTCTATATTTATTACCAAACAATTTTTTTTTTTTTTTAATAAAGGAAAAATAACAAAAAAATTAAGCACACGTGTAAACTTACACCCATTAATGAACTGACCTCGGGACGGTCACTCCGCTGTTGAAATCTAAAATTTGAAAATTGCTTTGCAAAACAATAGAAGCTGAGTGCTGGGGATGGGGTGGGAAAAGCTCTGTGACGGTCCGGAATAAACGACGACAGGAAAGCTCATTTAAGATGCAGGTGTTCTCGAGGTAGCCATATTTACAGAGCAGTTAGTAATAAAGGAAATCCGGCGAGTAGGTCCTTACCTGTTGGGTTGTTCCATGATCAGGAAACGGCAAGATTGACTTCCAAGAGTTCGTCGCCATGATGTCACGACACAGTTCAGACACAGACAAGGACAAGGAGATGAAAGAAGCGTTCAGGTGGGTAGGCCACAGCTGGTGTGTCTGTTAGAAGTGTCGGACGTAAGGAGGCTGGTGTGTCTGTTAGAAGTGTCGGACGGAAGGAGACTGATGTGTTTGTTAGAAATGGTGGAAGGAAGGAGGCTGTTGTGTCTGTTAGAAATGGTGGACGGAAGGAGACTGGTGTGTCTGTTACAAATGTTGGACGAAAGGAGGCTAATGTGTCTGTTAGAAATGGACGGAAGGAGACTGATGTGTCTGTTAGAAATGTTGGACGGAAGGAGGCTGGTGTGTCTGTACGTGACCCCAATTTGTGGGCAACTTAGTACGTGACGCCAATGTGTGGGCAACTTAGTACGTGACCCCAATTTGTGGGCAACTTAGTACGTGACCCCAATGTGTGGGAAACTTAGTACGTGACCCCAATGTGTGGGCAACTTAGTACTTGACCTTAATTTGCGGGCAACTTAGTACGTGACCCCAATGTGTGGGCAACTTAGTACTTGACCTTAATTTGTGGGCAACTTAGTAGAATGAGTGTCAGCTTGTGTTTTATAAAGGCACAGAGTAGGCCGGGCACGAAATAATTAAAACTAAAATAAGAGGGAAATGAAACAAACCTTTTTAAAAAAACCAAAGTCTTGCTTATAAATCCGGTATCAAATGCAATATCGAGCAACAACGGGGGGCCCACAATTTCACAACACATGCGTTCAGGTAACGCATGCACTTTATAAGAATCCCAATGAGTGCTTAACCCCCCCCCCCCCCCCCCCAACCAAGTTCAACAAGTATCTTCTCAAATAAAAGAAAATATTACACACCAAACGCACTTGCAATAAAAAAAAAAAAAATAAAAAAAAATAAAAAAAGAAGACCTCATTTAGTGCATTTATTGGGAATTTTATTTCGTGAAAAACAGGAACAAATGACTTTTAGGGCTTTGGAGTATGGCTGAATATTTGAAAGAATGTGTTGTCATCGGCAACGAGTCTAATGTGCCAAGGTTCAGCTAAATAAGTTGACGGGAAGTGGGTAAAAAAAAAAAGAAAAAAAAAGAATAATAAAGTTTTCAACATTCGTTTCTCAATTTCTAAGTATAATTCTACTTCTGGTCGTTCCATCTTGCCATGTGTTATCAAGGGGTAGGGTTGAGAACCGCTTTTATAACATACCTTAACTAAGCACCTTTGATATGTGTTCTCTCCCCCCCCCCACTCCGTCCTAAAAAAATGTGTTTTCACAGCTTCTTTGGCTGCCTCGTCGCCTAACAGATGCTTGTATTTATCTCTGTAGTTGGATGCTGGGATGTCCTTGGTGGGATCTGATGGCCTGCCTTTCTCTAGAGCTTCCTCCAATTCCTTCTGTTTCAAGAGCTCTTTAGCTTTCTCAGGGTCCCACTCTTCCCCTTTCCTGTAAGCTTGTAACTCTTCATCTGTCGGGGCAAATTCCTTTTTCCATAACATCACACATCTTCTTCTTCAAGTCCAAAGGAAAATGAGACGAGGCCGGCCAGCTCTGCAACATCATGCACAATGGCACGTTGAACTTTCTCCATTGGTTCAATCTTCAATTTCTCCAGATTTCCATCTTTAATGAATTCATGGATGCTCTTTTGAATCTTTTGTCGGAAGCTGTCAAGCAGTTTCTTCTCTGCTTCCTGCTGTTTCTCAATCAACGCCTTCTGAGCTTTGGCTTTTTTTTGCGTTCATCTGTTCCAACTGATGGGGCTTTTCCATTGACCCCAAAATCGAGCCTAACAAATCGGCCATCTTGTGCGGTGTAGATAAGCAAATCGTCCACGTAGCTAAACCCGTTTCTCATTCCTTCTAGAAGTTGTCGAGTTGCCCGAATCAGCGTCGCTCCTGAATTCATCATTCCAAACGGCATTCTCAAAAACTCATAATGACAATCTGGAGTCACGAATGCTGTTTTGGGGATGTCCCCAGGTTCAACGGGAATCTCCCAATATCCTTTGCTAAGGTCAATTTCGCTGAAATATTTAACTTTTGAAGTGTTATAAAATATTTCGTTTGGTGACGTCACTGGCACTGGATCAAAAACAGTGATCTTATTTAGGCCTCGATAGTCAACACAGACTCGGTTTGATCCATTTAAATACATTATATATAAAGGTGATGTGATAAAATGTACAAACACCATGAAATACAAATGACAATGAAATACAAATGACAATGAAATACAAATGATAATGAAACAAATGACCATGAAATACAAATGAACATGAAATACAAATGACCATGAAATACAAATGACAATGAAAAACAAATAACCATGAAATACAAATGACCAATAAATAGAAATGACCATGAAATACAAATGACCAATTTATACAATGACCAATAAACACAAGTAACCAATAAACACAAATGACCATGAAATACAACTGACAATGAAATACAAATGACCACGAAATAAAAATGTCAGTGAAATAGAAATGACCATGAAATAAAAATGACCAATAAATACAAATGACCATGAAATACAAATGACCACGAAATACAAATGACCGTGAAATACAAATGACCACAAAATACAAATAACCACGAAATACCAATGACCATGAAATACAAATGACCATTAAATACAAATGACCATGAAATACAAATGATCATAAATACAAATGACCACGAAATACAAATGACCACGAAATACCAATGACCATGAAATACAAATGACCACGAAATACAAATGACCATGAAATACAAATGTCCATTAAATACAAATGACCATGAAATACAAATGACCAATAAATACAAATGACCAATAAATACAAATGACCACGAAATACAAATGACCATGAAATACAAATGACCATTAAATACAAATGACCATGAAATACAAATGACCATGAAATAAAAATGACCACGAAATACAAATGACCATGAAATACAAATGGCCGTGAAATAGAAATGACCGTAAAATACAAATGACCAATAAATACAAATGACCAGTAATACAAATGACCAATAAATACAAATGACCAGTAATACAAATGACCAATAAATGCAAATGACCAATAAATACAAAGGACCATAATTACAAATGACCAATAAATACAAATGACCATGCTTTAAAAAATGTTATTGCTGTTACACTGTTTAGAGTGTTCGACCGGGACGGCAACGGCCTCATCTCGGCAGACGAACTCCGTCACGTGATGCTGAACCTGGGCGAGAAGCTGACCAGTCAGGACGTGAAGGAGATGATGAAAGAAGCAGACAAGGACGGGGATGGTCAGATTAACTTTGAAGGTGCGTCGTCGAGCTGTCAGTTATTGTCAGGGCCTCGGGTGACACATTTGTCCAATGACATATCAGGGATTCGGATGACACATTTGTCCAATGACATATCAGGGATTCCAATGACATATCAGGGATTCGGATGACACATTTGTCCAATGACATAGCAGGGGTTCGGATGACACATTCGTCCAATGACATAGCAGGGGTTCGGATAACACATTCGTCCAATGACATATCAGGGATTCGGATGACACATTTGCCCAATGACATAGCAGGGGTTCGGATGACACATTTGTCCAATGACATAGCAGGGGTTCGGATGACACATTTGTCCAATGACATATATGGGATTTGGATGACACATTTGTCCAATGACATAGCAGGGGTTCGGATGACACATTTGTCCAATGACATAGCAGGGGTTCGGATGACACATTTGTCCAATGACATATCTGGGATTTGGATGACACATTTGTCCAATGACATAGCAGGGGTTCGGGTGACACATTCGTCCAATGACATATCTGGGATTTGGATGACACATTTGTCCAATGACATATCTGGGATTTGGATGACACATTTGTCCAATGACATATCTGGGATTTGGATGACACATTTGTCCAATGACATATCTGGGATTTGCATGACACATTTGTCCAATGACATATCAGGGATTTGGATGACACATTCGTCCAATGACATATCTGTGATTTGGATGACATATTTGTCCAATGACATATCTGGGACTTGGATGACACATTTGTCCAATGACATATCTGGGATTTGGAAGACACATTTGTCCAATGACATATCTGGGATTTGGATACACATTTGTCCAATGACATATCAGGGATTTGGATGACACATTCGTCCAATGACATATCTGTGACTTGGATGACATATTATTTGTCCAATGACATATCAGGGATTTGGATGACACATTCGTACAATGACATAGCTGGGATTTGAATGACACTTTTGCCCAATGACATATCAGGGATTTGGATGACACATTTGTCCAATGACATATCTGTTATTTGGATGACACATTTATCCAATGACATATCAGGGATTTGGATGACACATTTGTCCAATGACATATCTGTGATTTGGATGACACATTTGTCCAATGACATATCAGGGGTTCAGATGTCATATTGTGATGCCATAAGAACATACGCCTGTTTAAGATACAGTAATTCAAGTATTCGTGGTGGGGGGGGGGGCGAATCCATAAATGGCGTCACGTATCTAAGGGGAGGGGTCACGACATTTTGATGATGCATGTTGGATGTGTTATTTTGTGACAGATTTGTGACAATTTTGGTTTGGAAATGGGGGGGGGGGGGTAAAANCAATTTTGGTTTGGAAATGGGGGGGGGGGCGTAAAATACAGGCTCGAATGACGTGACGTCATTTATGGATGGCCACAAGGATAATTTAAGTGAAGTCCTTAAATAGAGACGGTCCATTAGATTGACCAACCGAATAGACAGACTCTATAGAATAGAAAAAAAGCACGAACAACCAAAGAGGGAAGTCTGCTTTATAGACATACCAAATTTAAAGTATTTTGGAGGTAGATGTTTTTAATAGGACCATCATGCAGAGTCTCACTGATGTCTTTGTGGGTGTTTTCAGAGTTTGTCCAGATGATGAGTGCCAAGTGATACGACACTCTCCCCCCCCCCCCCAAGACTTCACCCGACTACACTGTACATCATGATCATTTATTCAATCCAACTAATATCTAGTAAATTGGTCCACGTACTTTCCATTGCATTCCATTGAAAAGTTATAATTACATATCTCCCCTAAGCGAAGCCAGTATTTCCGGAAGAACCACTGCAGGGTCTACAGAACGCGTACCCCGACTCCCATCGTCTTAACTATGCATTAGTGCGTTAACTGCTAGACTGGTTTAGAGAGTTAAAAAATAAACAAGCAACAACGTGTGTTACATGTAAGCTTTCAAAAAAAAAACAACAACAAAACCCAACTAAATGCACTAACTATAATATTGAAATATCACAGTTATATATGTATAATTATGGCGGGGCTTATAGGAACAAATGCAAATTTAAGAAACTCACATGGAAGTAGATGTTGTGTTAGTTTATTTGGTGCTACCCGAAAGGAGGCTGTGAAATTAAATATAGTGGATAACTGATAGAGCAGTGTCTCCCTTAATAGAACATTGCCTCCCCTAATGGAGCAGTGTGTCCCCAGATAGAGAAGTGTTTCCCCTAATAGAGCAGTGTTTTCCCTAATGAGCAGATCTTACCCAAAGAGAGACGTACTCCCTAAATAGAGCAGTGCTTCTTCAAAGAGAGCAGTACTCCCTAAATAGTGCAGTGCCTCTCCAAATAGAGCAGTGCCTCTTCAAAAAGAGTAGTGCTACTTCAAGTATAGCAGCACTCCCCAAATGGTTTATGGCCTCTCCAAATAGAGCAAACCCCCCCCCCCCCCCAATCGGATCAGCACTCCCCAAATAGAGCACTACTCCCAGTACTCCGCATAAAGGGCAGCATTCCCCAAATAGAGCAGTACTCCTCAACTTTTGCTCAACTTGCAGGCATGTATTTCTCCTTATTGCTCAATATTTATTTTGAATTCTTCCATTTAATTTTTTTTGTTAATTGTACGCGTCTGGGGAACTGAAGGTTTACGGTCGGGTGCCGATCAAACGAGGAGCACATTGAGAACCACTGTGTTAGATTAGATTGCTTACGTTATGAGGATGTTGCTTTTTTTAAATATAATTCATATTAACCCAGAAAGCGCCGTGTACGGGGCAAATCTACAACTGGAATTAGGACACACAAACACACCCACTTTGAGATTACTGATACGGCTATTGGATGAAGTGTCATGAGTGTTCCTTCTTAAAGTGTCTACTTCAACTGGTCAGACCGTGACCTCATCAGGGTAGTTCGATACTCTGACCAAAGCTTCTCAGATGACTTCCGGTTGGTCAGTACTCCCAGGGCCATGGGAAGGAAAAGCTGCACCCGGGGCAAATTTGCACACCTCCTTTAACAAATGATATACGATACACACATACGTGTATACATCCTCCCCACACACAAACATATATATATATTATATATATATATATATATATTATATATATATATATATTTATATATATAACGATTTTGGCTGCACCATTTACCCCCCCCCCGCCCACCTTTTTTTTCGCACGGCCCTGCTCCCTTCTCTGTAATTTAGCCTCTGGATTTAGCCTCTTCCCCATGTAGAATGTGTTATGAATTTCCATGTACATAACATACTATACAACCAATAACAATGTATATGGAATAAAACATTACATATTGTATAACGGTATGTGTTTGCACGGAAAATAAATCTTGTATAGAATAGAAGACTCGAACCGGATTTTAAATTAAACAAAACAATGTATTTATTAATTTGATTGATGCAATTATTATAATTTATTCATCTGGTGCATTACACAAACTTTTTTTGTTGTTTTAAAACAGCAGTTGTGCCTGCGCTCTTCTTTAGCCGTGCTGTTGAACCACTGGCTTTGTCATCTGCTGACACCATACGACATTGTATCAGACGACATTTTTTTTTAATTTTTATATTCACATAGCGCGCATTAAACTTTTTTTCAACTGAGTCCAGAGTGCAGAAGCCACTCTATGCAGTCAAGCAGAGGTGGAACAATGTTCCTGATAATATTCGTCATCTTCCTTTGTCTCCTCAGGTCGGGCATCCGTCATAGAAGGAAGGGGGGGGGAGGGGTCTTTCTGGTACCTCCCTTAGCTCCACGGTTGGTATCACCATTATTACCTCCATTAGCTCCACGTTTTGGGTCTCTCTGCTTCGCGCCGGTACCTCCCTTAGCTCCACGCTGGTACCTCCCTTAGTTTCACGCTGGTACCTCCCTTAGCTCCACGATGGTACCTCCCTTAGCTCCACGCTGGTAGCCCCCTCAGCTCCACGCTGGTACCCCCCTCAGCTCCACGCTGGTACCCCCCCTCCGCATCACGCTGGTACCCCCCTCAGCTCCACGCTGGTACC